AAGAAAAACGTGTGGTCACTATTTACGATATTCCTAACGTCCAACGAAACGTGACGAGGCTTTTAAATTCCATCCCAAAAGAACACTTCTTGCAAATTTTCCAGGAAATATACAGCAGATCTCAGCGGTGCATAGTTATCGGGGGTGACTATTTCGAATGACAGCAAGTCAACTCAGGACTATTCACTGAACTTTGTTGGTAGGGGTTGTATACAAATATATATATATATATATATATATATATATATATATATATATATATACTAGTTTCAGGGAAAATAAATCCATTATTTTTTCCGTAGATGGCTGTACTGTCGATATCTCTGAAGCATCGATCAAACAATTTGAAATTTGTTGCTCGTTGTCAAGATGACAATTCACACTAAAAAAATTATTTTGCTTTTTATTGTTTGGTTCATTCAGTGGTGAGTTACAGGGTGTTATAAATGGAAATCAACAAAGAGAAAATTCGGTTCTTTTTTACAGTTTTTTTTTATAAAGACTAAAATGCAAGCCAGGTGGCTGAAATAGCGAATGGTGTTTATGGTGCCGATACTGCAACAGCTAATTACATGAAATTTTGGTTTCATCGGTTCCGTTCAGGTATTTTTAAAGTTAAAGATGCACCTCACACAGACAGGCCCATCTTTGAAAATATCGATAAAATCACAGAAATAATTGAAGTTGACCAACATGCTAGTAGTCGTAGCATCGCCCAGAAGCTAAAGATGCACCTTAAAACAGTTTTAAGCCATTTGCACAAAGTTGGATTCAAGAAGAAGCTTCATGTTTGGGTGTCACACCAATTAACACCAAAAAACATGATGGATTGAATTTCTATTTGCGAAGCCTTGGTCAAACGGAATGAAATTGATCCATTTCTTAAACGGATGATGACTGGTGATGAGAAATGGGTCACATACTACAATATTGTGTGAAAACGATTGTGGTCAAAGTGCGGTGAAGCAGCTCAAACGGTGTCCAAACCAGGACTAACGGCCAGGAAGGTTCTACTGTGTATTTGGTGAGGCTGGAAAGAAACCATTTATTAGGAATTGCTTCTGCATGACCAAGCACTAAATTCAGATGTCTACTGTCAACAACTGGACAGTTTGAAGCTAGGGATTGACCAGAAATGGTCCAAATTGGCCAACAGAAGAGGTATTGTGTTTCCTGAGGACAACTCCAGAGTACTCACTTCTGCAGTGACTCGCCAGAACCTCTGGGAGCTTCGTTGGGAAGTTTTAATGTATCCACCATATAGTCCACCATATAGACTTGGCACCAATCGATTATCACCTTTTTCTCATATTTCAAAACTGCCTGAGTGATAAGGAATTGGGATCAAAAGAAGATTGTCAAAATCAATTATTAGACGTTTTCGTCAATAAAGGCAAATACTTCTATGAGACAGGCCTTATGAAGCCACCTTTAAAACGCCAACAAATTATACAACAAAACAATGCATATTTGACCCAAATCGGAAAATTGGAAGCATGTTAAATAAAGTCTTGATTTTCATGCAAAAATAATGGATTTATTCCCCCAACATAATATATATATATATATATATATATATATATATATATATATATATATATATATATATATGTCAGGCCTGCTAGTAAAATGAGGAGGGCAAAATTTCAAATATAATCCTTATATTGCTTCAATCACATAAAACCCAACCTTACGGTCCATTGGCGTGCAATCGAATAGAACAATAAACAACACTTCAGCAAGGAGTCACCAGCTAAGCCTTTTTAAGTATGCGTTCTCTGTCGTCAGCGCTCGATCCACCTTTAAATAGGCTTATTTACCCACAAATCCTTACGCGATGGTAAAGAGTTCGTTCTATTTTCCTTTATTACTTACTTAATTTTGAAGCTAAACTTTTCAAGTCTATATATATATATATATATATATGAGGCCTAGTGGCTGAGTGGTGGTGCATCAGGATTCCTCACCACCAGTCTGACGTTCTAGCCCCGTCCTGGGCAAGGCTGAATTAGCTTTTCATCTCTTCTGGGGGTCGATAAATGCGTGTCAAGCTTGCCTTATAAAACACTGGGGGTTCGCGGTGGACTCACCACCTTACGGGAACATCTGCTCGTAAACTTTAGGGCCCAAGGTCACGTATACTGAGATGAGCAATGTAGGCCCTGTTCCTTATGGGTTGTTGCACCACTTAGTTGTTATAAATGCAAATGTGTATACATTTGTGCGTGTATTTATATTAAAGAGGAAGATTGAGATCATATAAGGGAGGAAAGCTTAACACTATTCCAGGGCTATAAATCTATGTGTGACTTTTTTAGAAAACATGAACTTGCCAATAACACTCTAGTTGATTCATAACTCGAAACTAATAACAATCGATCAAAAAGTAAAATAACACATATCAAGCTTTAGCGAAAGGATATTATATATATTCTTTTCATAAATTTCGCAAAATAAATTTTTAAGAATTCAATTTTGCTACTGTATTTTTATTTCTTGAATGAAAAGTTTGTTGAAATAAATGATTATCAAAAATGGCTGTAGAGGGCAAACAAAAGTCTTCTAAGCGTTTTGAGTAAAACAACTACACAACATACTGTTTTATACTGCTCAAAGCAGTACTTACAATACTTTATATATACATTATTTTCTAATACTTAACATGTGGTTTGCATTTGAAACAGTGCTGTGATTCAATTTTCAATTCCAAAAAATTAGCTCACGTTTATTATATGGTGTTTTCAAGTATATTGTTTGAATTTTTGGTGATTTCATTGCAAAATAATCCTGAATAGTATGTAACAAATCATAAAAATATTTGAATTCATATAAAAACCGGTCACTAAATCATTTGTGATATTATTCACCTATCAAGAATTTAATGAATAACCTATACGTCTGTTAAAATTTCCCAGTTTTGTTTAATACAATTTTTAGTGTATATTTTCTCGTAAAAACGTCAAACTTTATTATCTTTTTAAATAGGCTTTTTTTATTGTGTGTGGAGGATTTCTTTTTTTTTTTTAAATTTTGAATATTTGAGTTATGAGCTTAAAAACTTTATGGCGAAAGATAATAAGTTATGGACAAGATTCAGTGCTAGTATTACACAAAATAGAAGCTTGTACTTAATTTAATTAAAACTAATTAATGGTCCTGCTCTTACGTAAAAAAACCATTGGACAATTTTGTCAAACTAAAACTTCGCCAAATGCCAATATTTAGCCAATAGTGGAAAATCATGCCTGTGCATGTTCGAACACAGTAATAATGCTACAGCATTCGGAAACATTTTTTGAATTGGTGACGCATTTAATTTGGTGAAGTATTAGCGAAGTTTACATTGGGGAAAATCTTTTCTGTTTATTCAGTTCCTACTATTAGCTCAGACTTCCTGTGATATGTATGTGGGGCTGTGTCTAGGAGTAATGATGAAATTTTGGACGAAAAAAAGCATAAGCCAAAAATTTAAAGAACAATTAATTTATTAAGAAAAGGAACAGGCTATATTTACACCTTTGGATTATTTACAAAAAGATAAATGAAAGATAGTTCGAAAAAAGAGCAGGATTCACCAGTGAGAGGGGGGCGCCAAACATCGCTTGGCCTAAAGAAGCCTTGTTAACGAAGGCAAAGTTGCTAAGAGGACGTCGACCCTACTTCGTTCGTGTCCGGTGTGCGAGTGAAAAAAAGGATCTCACGCTCAGGGACTATATGCGTCTGACGTCATCGCTGCAAATTCTTTCATTGGGCATTGAAATGCCTCTCGATTCAATTTGGTTTGTTTAGGGCCGCCATCTCTTTCATCTCTATATCTCGAAATATATTGAAAATTTAAGACATTCTAATTATTCGAAACTATATAAATAATATTTCCCACATATATATACATATATATTATTAAAATTTTCAATCTTTAATAAAATACTTTCTATCCATCCATTCAAGTACATATTTCTAACAGTTGCAGTGTTGACACTTTATGTTCATACAGTTTTTCAAATATTAATTCATTAATTAAGTTAAAAAATGAATAAATTGTAATAAACAAAAATAATCGTCCATAAGCATATATAAAGGGTGTTTTTTTAGAGGTATAGAACTTCAAATTGCAATAAAACAACGATGTATTATTCGATTGACATGATTTTTTTTTATTCGAAACAATCTTGTGGCATCACATTTTAAATATGATTTCTGGCATATGACTGCCACGGCTGGCTCGGATGTAGTCCAATCTGGACGTCCAATTTTCGATGACTTTTTCCAACATTTGTGGCCGTATATCGGCAATAACACGGCGAATGTTGTCTTCCAAATGGTCAAGCGTTTGTGGCTTATCCGCATAGACCAATGGCTTTACATAGCCCCACAGAAAATAGTCTAGCGGTGTTAAATAACAAGATCTTGGAGGCCAATTCACAGGTCCAAAATATGAAATTAGGCGGTCACCAAACGTGTCTTTCAATAAATTGATTATGGCACGAGCTGTGTGACATGTTGCGCCGTCATGTTGGAACCACAGCTCCTGGACATCATGATTGTTCAATTCAGGAATGAAAAAGTTAGTAATCATGGCTCTATACAGATCACCATTGACTGTAACGTTGTGGCCTTCATCGTTTTTGAAGAAAGATTCCACCAACCCATAAAGCGCACCAAACAGTCAGTTTTCTGGATGTAACGGTGTTTCGACATACACTTGTGGATTTCCAAATGCGGCAGTTTTATTTGTTGATCTAGCTATTCAACCAGAAGTGTGCTTCATCGCTAAACAAAATTCGCTTATGAAAATCGGGAACAACGGCAATCTCGTTTTGGGCCCATTCGACGAATCTACGCCATGCTTGATGATCGTTTTGATGAATTGCCAAACCAAACTGAGAATAAATCACTTGACTTCTGTTAAATCGGTCGCCATCTTGGAAAGTAATGCCAACTTAAACTTCTATACCTGAAAAAAAAACCACTCTTTAGAAAGACAAATCGTTCGTTGCGTCGAAGTAGCGCAATGGATAGCGTGTTGAATTTCTGCTCCAAAGGTCTTGGGTTCGAATTCCACCTGGAATAACGTAATTTCTGAGAATGTGCTTCCTTTTTAAAATATTATTTTGTCAGAATAATTAAATTTAATAATTAATAAATAGTAACAGAAACAAAACATAAATAGCCCAACACCATATATAAAAAAGGAAAATGGAAAATTACAAGAAAAATCGTTTTCTACTTTGTCACTTTATATTGTAATTCTGTCATATGTATATACATATTTATATTGATTGTATCTATTTAGCAAAAAGTAACAACAATAATATTTTTCTTTGTTGATCTCAGTAGGAATTGACTTATTTTTTTTATATTACTTTTTTAAGTAAGTATAGGATAAGCAGTTCTCGGCATGCACGGCATATTGTACCTCTCCTCAATATGGTGTTTGTGATCGATTGCAATATTCTATCTACCTTGTTAAATATTTCAAGATACTCTTATTTCACACAAGACAGTACCCAGTAAAAAGAGGGATTTTTTTAAAGTTTTGCCCAAAAATATAAAAATAATTTTTTTCAGTTTCATCAGCTTGACTTTATCTTGTATTGATAAAATACACCCAAGATACTTTAGAAACGTAATTAAGTGGACATTCGTTTCACGTTTGCAAAACTTGTCATCAATTCTTCAGATAGTTTTTGTATACATTTCTTAAATGTCTGAGATGCGTGAAGCTTCTTTTCAGAGAGAAAATGGGCCGGTATTTCAAAAATCCCTGATTGCTTTATTCAATACATCACTTGATAAATTGAGTATGTTTTGCGAAATAAAATGACGTCATTGGCGTCAACTCAAAAACGTCACCGGATACTAATATTGCAATTATTGTTTTATACCAAGCTCACAACAGAGGATTTCAGAGGCTGTTTAATTTAATCATCAATATCTGTAAATACGTCTTGTTTTCTTAGTACCCTCTTGGACCAGCGTTTCTCAACCTCTGGGCCGCTCACTCCAAAGGGGCGGGTTAACGCTACGTGAGAGGCACGAGCATATCGAAAAGTCAAAATAAAAGATTTAAAACATCCATAAGCTTAATTAAAGGAATCAAAACAATATACTTTCCGAGATAATAAGTAATACACATCTACAGTGATATAATATACATATAAATATATCAGTACTGCACAATGTATTTGATCATTAATTCATCAAAACTAAGTTAAAAACAAGTTTAACCATTTCTAGTAACCACATAGGCTTGTCATTAACAAAATCTTACGCAAAATGTTATACTTATCTTGATAATTTGGGAAGTTTACATTTAAAGTCATATTGTAACTTTAGCGTCGAAGTACGTAATTAATGAATTCGGTACATTATAATTGTATGGAAGAGGCCACCATGAAATTTTGATTGAAAATTGGGTCGCAAACATTGAAAGTTTGAGAAGCACTGCCTTAGACCATTTCTCAAACTGCTGAAGGTACGTATACCGCTGATTGAGAAACATTATTCTAATTGAATTCGATTCATATGATGAAAATTAAATCGTAATCTTATTCTGCGTTGATCAAGTAACTAAAAGTTTAAAAAGTATATTAGATCTACAATTTAAATGTAATTTTTGGTACTTGCGTTTTATACCATTGAACAAGTTTGCAAATCGAAAGACGATGCCAATTCTATCGTCAATTGTTGCCATTATTCTGTTTGAGCATGTGTGGGAGCTGCTTCCTTTATTTGATCGCTGCATTTGGCGATGCTTTATTGATTTGATGAGATTGGTAGACGGTAGGATACGTAGTTACCCAATTCCCTTCATCCAAGTTGTTTTCACATTCAATAAGTTTGGTTGTAAGGTGTTATTATTCTATTTTCTTGCTATATTGGAAACAAACTATAAAATAATGAGAGAGACCCAGTTTTAAACAATGCATATCCCCCTAAACTCATTGGATACCATAATTCTCAAATAATGTCTTTATTTTTCAATTAATCAAATTCTGAAAGACACGTGATTCATTAAAAAAAAGTCAAAATAGAAATGTTAAACCAATTTAATTCAAATTAAAAAACCATTATCGTGTGCTATTTGTGATGAATGATTCTTTAGAAACTACTGTCTGAAAAATTATCGTAAATACTAAAATAATCATGTACAGTAATTTCACCTTTGCTATTATGAAACAAAATTTGGTGACTATAATGAGACAAAAGTAATTTCATAAAGACGGTGAAGCGATATCAAAAACTTTCCTAGTCGAAAATTAATCTTGATATCGCGTGACTATGGAGAAATGTGTTAGACAAACGGGAAAATGTCGTGATCTGTTGTTAATGCAGTTATGCAAGTCTTTTTTTTTTCTGTAACTGCAATTTAGTGTGTGTTTATATTGATTAAACACCTTTTTTCCACAAGTAAAGAGCATGAACAATCGGTTATATATCAATATGCATCTAGTTGGTTGTAATTTTAATGTGTGCAAAAATACAGGAGACAAAAGTCAGACATTAGTTTGTAAAATACAACTTTTGAATATAATGTAATACATTATATGAGAAAAGAAAAAGATTAAAACATTTATAATATCCATTGATGCTTTAAAATCATTAACCCTTTATTGGGTAATTTCAATATATAAATATTATTTTAAAATATCTTGGGTATTGATATAGATTTATAAAAATAAATTCATTTATATTATTACCTAAAGTTAATGTTTGGTTTATAAGATAATATTTAGTGGGGAGTATATTTACCCCCGTGTCCACTGGGAAGTACTTAAAGGTAAGACGTGGTGCATTTTACAATTATTTCTATAGCGCTTTAAATGATGTTTATGTAAAATACAATTTGCAAATTCTAAAATCTATAAACTGAATGATTGTTAAAATTTAAGGATTTATTACAGAGGCGCACGCAAAAGGAGGAGTCTCCGAGATCGGACCTCCCCCAAAAGTCCATTTTTTTCGATAGATTATTAATCTATGTATATAATACTTAAAATTTAATTAAGTATTTGAAATTAATAATTAATTTTACTTATTAATTCTAAGTACTTATTCAATATTTTTTTGCTGTTTTTTGTTTCCGAAAATCGACAAAATTAAAGGAATATGTTGGGCGATGTATTAGAGCATAATACGAACGAGAAAGGAGTACTTCCAACTGTGTTCCCCACCCTTTGAAAAATTCCTTTGTGTGCTACTGGAATTTATATATACTGTTTTCAATGACGATGAAAACCAATGATAGTCACGTGTCATATATAGGCATAAGAAGATGTTTCTTATTAAATTGCAAATTTTTGTATATACTGTTTTCAATGACGATGAAAACCAATGATAATCACGTGTCATAGATAGGGATAAGAAGATGTTTCTTATTAAATTGCAATTTTTTGTAGAAAGGGATAACTACTTAAACCAATATTTTTTGCCAAAGAATGGATCATTTTTTTAAGAAAAGCATTATTATTATTATTTAGTATAAACTTTATCATTAAATATAATGTATAATAAAAATACATTGAGGTTAGATGGCTTAATTATCTTAGTTTTAGCTACGTTGTTTTAAACGTCAAACGTACAGAATTCATTTCCTTAGAACATCTCGAAATGGGAAAGACAAATTGAGCATCAAACATATGTTGTCAGATACCAAGCATAAATTGTTGTAAGAACAGGATTTTGAAAAGAATACAAAAAAAGAAAATTAATTAATATTTTTGAAAAGATAACTATATTCGCATTCAAGGTAAATATGTAGTAACAAATATAATATAAAATAATCGACAAACAAAGAATATAATACTCAGATCTAATCTACAAGAAAAAAGAGAAACAATAATGAAACTATTGAATTATAAAAATGAATTTTACCGTTTTAAATTACAACCATTTTAAACGTATGAATACGCAGTTAGAAATGAATTAAAATTTGTATTTGTGAAACACATCGGTTTAGCTTAACCTTTCAATTACATATCAAAAGCCTTTTCAAAGGTTAAAATACAAGAAATAAAAATATCTGAAAGGATGTTAAAATTGTGTGAAATAGAATTCTCAATTGAAAGCAAGCAGCAAGAAGTTTGTGATAAATATCTTGAAAAGGTTAATGGGCATTTTATTATTTAGCTGCTTTATTAAATATGAATAAAATGTAATATATAATTCAGAATTGTTGTGACGAATATTCCGAGACAGATAGAGAAAATAAATACCTATATGCAAGCAAGCTTACACACATTTATTTTCTAACAAATAAAAATTTAATATTTTACTTGAAGTTTAATGTTTAGTATCAGAGAAAAACTTAATAATTTCCTTATTAGTTATTTAACTAATTAAAGACATTTACAAAAATATTATGTAATAAAAATATATAAAAATATTTAATAAAATAATTTTGAAACAATAAAAATAAGAATAATTAAAATAGTTTAAAATATTTCGTTTAGCTTAACCACGTGTTTTTTTCTTTCTTAAAAAGGTTGAAGTTACGAAAAGGCTCTAAACTTACACAACACCCCATCATAAGAAATTTGAGTGTCGATAGTTTTAACCCTTTCGTGACGGGTTCCCCTCAAACCCCTTATCAGACGATAGGCCGTTTTCCTTCGGGGCAGGCAAATCCGTAGAGCCATTACGAAACATGATTCATCCAGCTAACATTTGAGGATGGTGCATATATGATACAACCTTCCCTACAATATTTTTCCTTAATAAGTATGTCGTCATGAAAAGGAAACCTTCAGCTCCTTTTGAATCCTCCTTTGAACCTGTTGAATCTTCAATGTCATCGGAATTCGAGCACACGACTCGACTGAATTCGCGACTAGGGATGGCGATGTGAGATGGATTAATCGAATAATCGATTTCTTGGATTAAAAAAATCGATTTTCAAATCGATATGTAGCACTGAATCGATTCAGTGAATCGATATTTCATCCTAGAAAATCGACATTCGATTTTTTTCTATTTCGGTAAAAACCATAAAATTATTTACAATTAGTTGAATGTACAAACTTTAAACACTATTTATCGCAGACAGTTGTACTCCTGAAGTATGATCCTAT